TTATTTATGTGGTGAAAATGAATTAATTTAGTTAAAGGAGAGTATTTAATTAATTTTAGTTTTAATTTTCTGGAGAAAAATAGTTTTTGAAATATAATATAAATATTATTTCCTAAGATAAAGAACTTAAATACCAATTTGTTTAGTTTTAATAAAATTTTACAAGACATGCGGTACATACATATACATATATCATATATATACAAAGACACTACTTAAACAAAAAAATATAAAAAATAGTAAAAAATACATTCAAAAAAAGGGACAGATAATATAATGAAAAAAACTTTGCTGTCGGCGCTTTCTATTAAAAAAAATTCCATATATTTTAGAGGTAAGTGCTAAGCAAATTTTATGCGGCAACCCATCGAAAATTATGCTAAATTTGCTTAAAAATTCATATGAATAAAATATAGCTGCTTACTTTATACCTAACAATAACTAAATATTTTTAATTGACAACAAATTTGCACAAAGAACTAATTTAGAATGCTGGTGAAGTGGTTTTTTTGTTTTCTTTATATGAAAATTACATCAAAACTTTCTTATATACAATGAAATCATCACTTGTCAGCAGCAATGAGCGATTACCTTTAAATGATAACAAAAATATTCAAATCTGTCTAGTTTCGGCAAACTTATAGAGATTTTTCGCACGACATCTCAATCAGCAACCAGCAAATTGCTTTCAGGCGTCATTAAAAGCAATGTGTTTTTAAGGCAAGCTACCAGTTGTTCATAATCGTGCAACACTTGCTTAGAACAGACACACGAAAAAAAACCATATAAGTTCCTAAAATATGGATCGAACAGGATGAATTCGCTGTGCTTTGAAAAAGCAAAGCTTATAGAAGTCAGCGAAGTGTTATAACTCAGAAATAAGCACCAATCGATTATCTTCAAATTGAATATAATATTATTAAATTTCAATTTGTGTGAAGTTATACCGAAGTTTTTGGTTGGCATCACTATTTATTTATATTAGAGTCGAGCACAAATTTTCAGTCCTTGCTTGTAGCATGCTTTCAGGAATAACTAATGACAGCATAAGGGATTGCCAGAGGGAAGGTAATCTCGTCCAAGCAGATGTAAGCCCTATGTGATGAAATATCATTTGGCCTTCTGACAAGAGACAATATTACTGAAGAAGTAAACTTCACCAGGAAATGTAAAGTTACTCCCAGTAGGAAGGCGACATTACAGTTTCTCCCCATACCATAAAGAAGCTGCTCCGTAATGCCGAAAGAGCAGGCAGGGAGATCATTGCCAACAACTTCAAGGCATACACCATGCCAGGCGGCTTATCGGTGGTAACAACTTCTGCAAACTCAAGAAGCACTTCCACAACATGGGCCGGTTCTGTGACACAGCGCCGGTAAATCCAGAGCACCTGCTGATAAACTACATTGCGGTCTGCAGACGTAGGATTAACGCACTCGCATCCATGTTTCACTAGTACCTAGCTACTTATTGAACTTATTCAATGTGTTGGAGCTAAGTGATTCGTTCTGTTTTCCATATAGTTCCCTGACTCATTGTTGTCTTCAGTGTAATGAATTTTATACTTGATATCTTTGTGTCCAAAATTGCTTTTACCAAAATACCAATATTTAGGTCCATTATAGTGCGATTTGCTATTGTTGACCTTTGTTCTATTATTTAATATTCGGACAATCTAGCATGCGTTGAAAAGCTATTGTCCTTTTCGGTCTTTTTCAGTATTTCTTAATAATTTAAAGCGTAAGCAACAAAATTAATTGACACAAATATATCGATATTTGTGCCAGAACGACTGCTTCTGTGGGCGGTTTTCTTTATTAATTCAATATGAAGAAATCCTCAGTCGAAGTTATCGTATTTTGGAGAAAGTTTTCCGATTTCCAGATAATATCGGCATTGGCGATTAGACATGAGGCCATAGTTTGCCATCATAATACGCTCAGCCTAATTTGCAAGGCGGTTTGAAAACTATTTGAAAATAGCGATAGCGAAGCACGGCCTTATCCGCCTTATAGTCTGGACCTGCCACTGTTGACTATCATTTGTGGCGGTCGATGATAATGTCCCGCTGGAACACGGTAGGTACACTATTTAAACTTAGCTTGATTCATTAATTTTTACCAGAAAGCTGGTTAAATGGTATCACATGATTATTCATCATTTCTCTATTTTCTTGTCTTAAATAAACGTTGAAATTTAAAAAAAGGCGCGATTTATATGCATATACATATATGTAGTTATTGACCTAATATGTTCATATTTATGAGATTCAATATAAAACTTAATATAACTGTAATTAAGACTATAAAATCAGCTTAAGAATAGAAAATTAATCAAATAAAAGCGCATAGAAATTAGAAACCACAAAACAATAACAAAAACAGCTTTATTCTAACATACATAGAGATATGCTTAACCCCACAGATTCATACATATATACAGAACACATCAAACCTACATAACTATAACAATATACTGGCAGTAATTTTGATTGAGCACATGAACTGCAACCAATCAATGCAACTGCAAATGTCTAAAATGGCAAATAAATATCAACAATAAAAAAATGATAAACTATAACAAAAAGCTTAGAAGCAACGAAGCGCAGCGCATATGAAAAAGTCAAACATGCACACACAAATGCAAGTAAAAGAAAGTGGTTTAGTGATATTTTTACAACAAAATACAAAAACAACTTTATATATACACTAACAAAGGCAAATATGAACCTATCAGTTACAGCCAAGCAGACAAGCTGTCAAGTTGTGCATGCAGGCATTTTAAGAACAACAGCTACGCATACCAACACATATGCACTGATACACATACGCAAACATACTTATAAACAACCACGGCTTAGTATAATAAAATACGTAAATCAAAAGAATATATCATAGGACGATAACAAGAACAACAACAAATATATTTGTGTTAGTCAAACAGTTTCATTTAAACAGCCGTATAAATATATGCATATATGTATGTGTGTACGTTTGTGTGTGTGTGTGTGCCGGATATGCAGGTAAAAGAGTGGCATAACAAACGTTAAAATTTACACACTCTCAAGGTGTGTGCAAGGAGTAAACGAGTTTTAGTATCACAACCATAGCAATAAAAAGCACCAACAACATGCTTTAATATAAACTGCTATTAAAGAAAATGCGAAAGTGCCGTAAATCCGGACAAGCTGTGTCACTGTCATCATTAACCGCACAGACGAGCAGTTGGTTGGTGGTGCAGTAAATGGGTGGTCCAAATTGTTTTTTATAAATGTTTTTATTAGAATTTAAAAACTTAAAGAAAAACTGTGGAATAAAAAAATTAATTTTAATTAATTATTAAAAAAAGTT